GGCAGTATGACCTCTGAAACGTTGGTTAACATCGACCAGACTACACAGCGCAACAACCCAGAAGACAGAAATCTTCATACTCATCGCCCTGATGATGGAGGCAGTATGACCTCTGAAACGTTGGTTAACATCGACCAGACTACACAGCGCAACAACCCAGAAGACGGAAATCTTCATACTCACCGCTGTGAAAACCTCAAATCTTACATGTGAATGTAAGGCTGAAGTAATATGAAACATTAGCTATAAACAGCAGTAAACATCTGATGTCAGTTTACCGAGACAGCTTTAATTTCATACTTGCACAAACAATTGAAAATTAAAATTTACCCCAAAATGATCACAAGTTGTGTTTTACATTGCACTGAGGATTCAAACAAGGACAAAATAATTGTAAATTTATGTGATTTGTAAAGGAAATAATGGAGGTCCCTTTTACATTAATTCATTAATCTGGCAACGAGAATGAGTCATTAGATATAAGAACTAGTTGCACCATGTAAGCGACAGGTCTGTACATACTCACCCACTAGATGCTGATGTTCATCAGCTTGTGGATCTGTAAGGATCCTCAGTTGCTGAAGCAGCAAAGGATATTTGAGGATTCTTTGAATTGGCTTGATAAGATATGACTCCAGTGTTGAGGAATGCTGCTGGCGAGGATTTCGTGCTGCAAGGAACTCTTGGAGTGCCTGATTGCCTTCATCTGATCAAGTAATAATACAATATTGTTAGACAGTAAACTGTATTTTCACTGTCATGTAAATTGTGTTCATTCCCAGGCACTAAGGACCTTAGGGCTTATTCGTTTTATTACTTATAATTTTTCCTCTTTAGACAGCCTTGTTGTTTTATATAATGCTTTAATTAGGTCAAAGCTTGAGTATGCCTCGGTCGTTTGGAATAATCTTACACAGACAGATTCTAATAAATTAGAAAATATTCAAAGAAAATTTGCCAGTTTATGCAATTACCGATTTTTCCAGTTTAATATCCCCCGAAAATATGAACTGATCCTATCTACTTTAAATTTTAGAACACTTTATTCCAGACGACGACATCTCAATGCGTTATTTCTTATTAATGTATTTAAGGGCAAAATAAATTGCCATCCCATTATGGACGCTGTTGGTTTACGTGTGCCGGCGAGGCAAATAAGAGAATTTTCTACTTTTAGTGTGAGCAGGGCACTAAGGCATAGTCCTTCAGCCAGGTGCGTCATCGCTGCAAATGAAGTATGTAAATCTTTGGACGTATTTAGCACAAACATTGTCTCCCTTGAGCGAACGTTCTCAACAAAGGAAATGATCTAGCTTCGTTATCTGTCTTTTTATATTTTTTAAAGTTTTACAATTATATTAGTGTTCCCTACGTGGATTATTTTGTTTTTATTTATATTCCTTCATTTTTTGCTCTGTGTTAATATTGTTTCTATTTTGGGTTTGCCTGTACTTGGCAGTTATATTTAATACTGTATATTTATAAGTTTAGTTAATCCGTTTGTGTAAGATTTTTAATTTTTATTTCACTATTATTGTATATATTATCAGTGTTTGCCTGTTATTGGCTTCTTGCTGTTGGCAAACACGTAAATAAATTAATTGAATTGAATTAATTGAATTGAATTGAATTTTCTTCATTTTTTGCTCTGTGTTAATATTGTTTCTATTTTGGGTTTGCCTGTACTTGGCAGTTATATTTAATACTGTACATGTATAAGTTTAGTTAATCCGTTTGTGTAATATTATCCATTATTATTTCACTATTGTTGTATATATTAACAGTGTTTGCCTGTTATTGGCTTCTTGCTGTTGGCAAACACGTAAATAAATTAACTTAATTGAATTGAATATCATCAGAAAGTCTACTACAAGGACATACTAGTTCATCTACATTTTGATGACATGCAAGAATATTATTTTTTGTTCTAATTCAGTTATCCAGGCAGCTCAACAACTACGGCAAGAAGCAAAACAATACTACAGCCAGGAAAATCATCCTCACATTTATAAAACAGAGGAAATAAATCATAATTCAGTGTTTAGCACATTACACGGGTCTGGCGCAGAACAACGTGGATGGCACATCAACAAACAATAACAAATAAAGCAATGATCTACTCTTTTATACACTTCATAGCCCCTGAAGCTCATTTATTGCAGATACAAATCCATAATCATAAAGCTGATTACGCTAAATACAAAATTTATTCTATCTTACTGCATGCATCCTTAAGTCTGTACTGTTTTAATATGTTCTGTGACATTTCATGTTATAACAGAGTTAAAGGCATAAATACATGCTAATTGGATAATTTAACATTTTGAAACACTTTTCTGATATTATCAAAGGGACCCCTGTACATTTATATAATTATCACGCTACATTAAAAGTGCCAAATCAACATGATGATTACTCACTTGGGTGCAGAACTTTCTGTGCCTTTGAATGACTAGCACAGAAGGAGCTGTAGAGTTTGAAGTGATTCACGTAGTAGAGGAATGCACTGCCCACAGAGAACAGCACATTCTGCAGACGGCACAAAGCATTACAAAGAATAGCAAAATGAATGTTTCTGTATATAACACTGAATTCATACTAATATTAATAAATACTTTCACTTTGACAACGCAGTGTCGAGAATGATATTTGGATCTGAAAGAGAGAAGATTGGTGGATCATGGAGGAAACTGCGTAATGATGAGCTTCCCAGAGTTAACTCGCAGCACTCGGAATTTCGCAGCTACGACTTATTATTCCAATTTCTCTCATTCCTGGCAAAAATTCAAGCTTATTTTCACTAGATGGAACTAGCGCTCAGCAGTTCACTAACAGATATTACATCTACTGGAAGATTTCTCTGATGCATCCCCCCCAGAAATTATATGACGTGGCATGCGGTTTAGACTTGCGATGTAGCTCAATCAACTTTTATGTTAAATATGCTTCCTGTACCTTGCACATAATAAGGCATATACAGGCTGTCCCAAAAAGAAGTATACAAACAACCAATACATGTCACCATTGTGTATACATCTTTTAGGGACAACCTGTATTTATTACTAGTATTTTGTGAGGAAGTTAGGAGGAGATTAAATTCCGGAAATGCTTGCTACTTCTCAGTCCAAAATATTTTGTCTTCCCGTCTGATTTCTAAGAACCTGAAAATTAAAGTATACAAAACAATAATCTTGCCTGTTGTTTTGTATGGGTGCGAAACATGGTCTCTCACTCAGAGGGAGGAACACAGATTGCAGGGTTTTGAGAATCGGGTGTTGAGGAGGATAGTTGGGCCTAAGAGGGAAGACGATGGGGCGTGGAGAAAACTGCACAATGACGAGCTTAAAAATCTGTACTCCTCCCCCAGTATTGTCAGGGTGATTAAGTCGAGAAGAATGAGATGGGCTGGGCATGTAGCGCGCATGGATGGGACAAGAGGTGTGCACCGGGTACTGGTTGGGAAACCTGAAGGGAAGAGACCGCTGGGGAGACCTAGACGTAGATGGGGCTTGGACACCCAAGGCAAGGATGTTTCTTCGCGTTTTTCTGTTTTGTATTGTCTTGTGACAGGCTTATCACTCATCCAAGGAGCTTAAATAGATCAAGTAACCTACCATATAGGAGGAGGCCAAAGACCATCGGTAACACTAACGGACATGATATAACTGATGTCTTAAAAGAAACGCAGTCTTGTAGCCCAATATTTCAGTTTGAGGTTTAAGGAGTGGCGTTATAGAAAATATAATCTTTTGTAGATTTGTATTGGTCTGGACCACCTCATGTGCCTGCTGTCATGGTAATGTTAAAGTGAAAGATTTAAAACAAAATATGGTGAATATTTTTCCTCTTAGTAACAGTACTTTCTCGCATAGTTTAGGTACATTTTTCCAGTAGTTCCGTAGTCACAGTAAGACTGTCTTGCATGCGGACGCACTTACACGCTGATCTTATATATAATTTTCTTTCAGGAAATATGAAATAATGCATTCTACCTTCACATATGTCCTTTCTGTGTCCACCAACTCCAGAACTACTTTTCGGAGTTTCTCCGCGTCTGAGAGTTGACGGCTAGGAGTGAGCAGAGCCTGGGACTGACTGCTGGCAACACTCCCAGTGGGACTGGACTTACGAGTTTCTACTGGTGACCTGCAGAATCCTGTAACTTGTTCTGCTGTCTGGAAAAGAGAACTTGGACACCCAAGGCAAGGATGTTTGTTGGTGTTTTTCTGTTTTGTATTGCCTTGTGACAGGCTTATCACTCATCCAAGGAGCTTAAATAGATCAAGTAACCTACCATATAGGAGGAGGCCAAAGACCATCGGTAACACTAACGGACATGATATAACTGATGTCTTAAAAGAAACGCAGTCTTGTAGCCCAATATTTCAGTTTGAGGTTTAAGGAGTGGCGTTATAGAAAATATAATCTTTTGTAGATTTGTATTGGTCTGGACCACCTCATGTGCCTGCTGTCATGGTAATGTTAAAGTGAAAGATTTAAAACAAAATATGGTGAATATTTTTCCTCTTAGTAACAGTACTTTCTCGCATAGTTTAGGTACATTTTTCCAGTAGTTCCGTAGTCACAGTAAGACTGTCTTGCATGCGGACGCACTTACACGCTGATCTTATATATAATTTTCTTTCAGGAAATATGAAATAATGCATTCTACCTTCACATATGTCCTTTCTGTGTCCACCAACTCCAGAACTACTTTTCGGAGTTTCTCCGCGTCTGAGAGTTGACTGATTTTATACATAATTTTCTTTCAGGAAACATGAAATAATGCATTCTACCTTCACATATGTCCTTTCTGTGTCCACCAACTCCAGAACTACTTTTCGGAGTTTCTCCGCGTCTGAGAGTTGACGGCTAGGAGTGAGCAGAGCCTGGGACTGACTGCTGGCAACACTCCCAGTGGGACTGGACTTACGAGTTTCTACTGGTGACCTGCAGAATCCTGTAACTTGTTCTGCTGTCTGGAAAAGAGAGTAATTAATCTGTGACTTTACTCCATTCCTAATTATGTGATTATAAATGGCAGAAGCTTTAATACTACGGTCCTTAGAGGCCATGTGTTATAATTCTACATCTACGTTTAACAATAACACTAAGATGGTGCAGACAAGTGTCATATGAAACAATCAAACTTGTACTGAGATCAATTATGATATTCTTCACACCAATGCAGCATCTTTATGGGCTCTTTCACTCTCAGAATCAATTAAATACTGGATAATATATTTTTACAAGCTAAAATGGCTTGAAAAATTTGATTTCCTTATGTCTGGTTATGGCATTCTTCTTGGAAATCTTTTAATTGTTAGATATTAAGAACTTTAATAAACAAGAAATGAACATTTCATTTATAAATGTTGCATAGACACTTAAAAATTAATTTTAAATTATTTCATTACATCATCATCTCAACCCCTGTGGAAACCTCTGATTCCAAGTAGTAGTAGTAGTAAACTAGCTTTCAGTCCAATACAGTGACTAATATAATGATTAAATACGCTAGTCAATCTCACCTTGAGTAGATTTTCAATCTCGAACGAATTTGTCCGAGAAGTAGCTTTACCAGTGTCACTGGAAGGTGCTGGAGAACTCTCTGTTTCAGGTGAGTACATTTCTTTACCTGCATCGCACAAACCACAGACTTCAAACACCAAGAAATTAAATTATCAGTGAAGTCATAAAGAACACAGATTAGCTTCCTGCTTCCTCATATGTTTCACAGACCAAAGCCGCGACTAACCATAAATGATGTAATGAGTGGAAAGTTATTTCTGAACCATGATTATTTTACCACACACAATTTTCAGTAATTTATAGTTTTCATTGTTTTGTTTTTTTGTTTTTTTTGCAATGTTGGACAAATTCACCTTTAATTTCTGAAATATGATACTAATATAATTTTTGATCTTGACATAATGCATCATTTCTTAGTATTTCTATCCCGAACTAACAACCAAAGTACCAGTAACATAATACAAGGAAGGGTTTTAATAGCAGTTTGTTTATTGAGCTCCTTAGTCACTCTGTTTTTCCCGCGGTTGCTCGGCAATTAGTCGCAAATGAAATGACGCGGTGACAGACGTACGACACTTACTCCAACCCGGCGCAGGGACGATCAGGCCAGAGATCATCTCCTCGCTGATGGCGGGCGGTTCTGAGGGAGGGGGAGGACACACAAGGCTCTCGATAATATCGTCCGTCGCCCTCATGATGCCGGCTAGGTCCGGAGGTTCTGTGCGTGAAGAGCGCATCATCATGCAAAGGGCCAGTTCCTCCTGCAGAACACTCTCTAGGTACATCATGTCCAGGTCGCTCACGATGGCACCATTGATCACCATGATCTCGTCGCCCTTGATGATTCCTGGAAAAAATTCCTTCTATGATCTGAATTTAACCAAATAATATGTTTATTCTACTGTTGTCTAAAAATAAGATTTCACAAATTAAAGACTCTAAATTCCATCTGCAGTCATCTGAAAGCTGATGGCTACTTCTAACAATAAAATAACTTGACTGATGTCACTGTCTATGTGATTCATCAATTCTGTATTGAACTGATAGCATTCAGGTCTTTTTGTGGTTGCAGTACCTATTTGAAAGAACATAGCTATTAGGTTTTAGAAAAATAATTAATTTTATGAGTAAAATATTTAGTTAAATTGGTAAAATCTATCTATCCCAGGCGGAGTAAAATATTTGTGGCATGCAGAAAGCAGATCAACAGAACACTGTGGAAGCAGAAGAACGTCCAAGAAAAAGTTTTAAAATTTTATTTTACTAATCAACTCAAGTGTTGTAACGTAGATCTCCCACTCTTCATTACAATGTGAAAAGAGTATTAAGGAAAAATGTGGAACCAAGTTTCCTCAGTTCTTGTGTAAAACAAATAAGCTCCAGAGAAAATTACAAATAAAATTCATAGAGTCAGGAAGTTCTACCAGACTCGAGAGATATCATTCTGAAGCGTAAGATTTCAGATAAAGCGAATTTATATAAAATGTATTCATTGCTCGTTTTGACGTATACAGACAAAATATGAGATCTATGAGAAACGTAGGAAGATCAGAGTATCATGAAATGAACAGTAATCGATAAAATCCAAAATGAGAATACCTGAAAGTAGAAACACTACAAGAAAAGTTGGTGAAATTGTAAAATTAGGCATCCAATGTTAAGGACATGTATTACAACCAGAATATTCCTTTTGAAGTTCCAAAAATGAAGATATATTATAAATGACCACTGAAGAGACCAAGGACAAGGCAGAGAGATGAAGTCGGAGGAGATACGAAAAGTAGAGTAGTAGGGGAAGGAAGATCTTGCCTGTTGTTTTGTATGGGTGCGAAACAAGGTCTCTCAAAGAACTGTGCTTATCAGAGACAGAACAAGATAAAGATTTGTCATAAACCAACCACACACACAAAACAACATTAATGGATAGTAACGATGAACATACTCTAGCATTATCTGTCAACAACATTCCCTTTCCAATTTAAGTGTACCAAAAATCAAACACTACTTAACGATCTGTGCGCCTCATTGCTCAACTCACCATTCTGCATGGCCACACTCTTGTCTTCCACTCGACTCACGTAGCAGCAGAGCTCGTCCTGTCGGTCTGCATTCTCTATAAGTTCTGCCTCCACTGAGAAGCCCCACATCTGCTCCAGAGTAGTACGCTGAAGTTCCACTTGGTAGAGAATTTTGGCGCATACCTCCACAATTTCGTGCGTATGAAGCTGCGACATGCAAGTACCCGCTGTTGTTACACGCGCTTAAGTAACAAGTTCCTTTCAGCAGGCAGAAAAATGTCCTCAAACATATTACTGTCGTTTAAATGTAAACTCTTGTTCCTGACGGTTGTTAAAGTGTCCTGCCATCTTCCTTACAACTAAGATATCATTTTATTACACAGCTGAAAGGAAATAATTCCATAAAAAGAGAAAAGGGACATTTTAAGTACACTTGCACTCCCAGTAGATACTTTACCCACAGCAAAACTTCAACGCAATATCTAGGAACTGACAACAGGTAGAAAACAAGGTAATATTTTGGTCTAGCAAGAGACCTTTCACAGCTAACGCAGAATAAAACAAAATATCACATATTTAAAATATCAAATAAGATTTTAATGCAGAAAGATTAAAACAAAAAATGCAACGTGAAGAACACTCACGTATGTTTCTATGAGGTCCGTCCGATGCGGAACGAAATAGTTGTGGTCTTCCATGTCTCGTCTTTTCTTGACACGGACAAAATGCTCCATGGCGTTTAAATTCTTGCGACCGCAAGCACTCACGAGGAACTCCTCCACGGACATTGCATCCCGCAGGTACACGTGAGCAGTCTGCGGGGATCAGCACGCCCAAGGAATTATCCACATGGAGTATGTCAGACACACCAGGAAATTGGGTCACAATTAAAGAACCAGGTAATTTACAAGAAACACATTCTTCAATCAGATTAGTAAATTTCTGTATAACAAGAACAGACAAATTTGACCACAGCATGTAACTCCAAGAGACACTAAACAAATGACAAGTCTTTGACTACATACGAGGCGCGTCCTCAAAGTAAGTTTCCCACTCGTCCCACAGCTAGCAAACCTTATATTGCGCGAAGCGACTGTGCGTACGTGATAGAGCAATGACGTAGCATGGCGCATGCACTAACGG